AACATTAATTATGCATATGCATTTTTGGTGTGCGGTCCCGCCAGTTTTCACTATAAAAACGAGAGATTTTTTAATATGATCAGTACATGAGGTAGTACATTACATATTACTATACAAATTATGAGATACGTGTACCAAAAAATTAATATCTTAAAAAATAAAATTTTCTACCACTTCTATTAAAACCACGTATGTACTACTTGGTTCCCATCGCAGTTAAAATTTTCCTATAAAAACATCGCACTCCCCTTTCCTTCTGAATTGCAGAGTGGAAAGGAAAACCAGTTCAGCCATGGCTTCATCTCCCTTACCACCAACTTCTACAATGGCCGCCCTGCACTCCACCACCACAACCACCCTCTTCCGCTCTCCTTTATTCCCAAACAAGTCCCAGACTCCACTGCAACGAAAACCCAAACAATGCCTTGCGGGCAGAGTGCGCTGCAAAGCAACAAAAGGTGACAACGATAACCTAGACCAGGGCCTAGCAAGACTCGACAGGAGGAACATGCTGATAGGTTTAGGCGCCGGGGGTCTCTACGGTGCGGCAGGAAACCCATTTGCTTTTGCCGCACCAATATCCGCCCCAGACCTGACCACGTGTGGCCCTGCCGACAAGCCAGACGGGTCCACCATCGATTGTTGCCCACCTACCACCACGACCATCATCGACTTCAAACTCCCCGACAAAGGCCCACTCCGCACTAGGCCCGCTGCTCAGGACGTTGCAAAAGACCCTGCATACTTGGCCAAATACAAAAAGGCCGTCGAGCTGATGCGGGCACTTCCAGACGACGACCCGCGCAGTCACGCCCAACAGGCCATGGTACACTGCTCCTACTGCGACGGTGGATACCCACAAGTCGGATATTCGGATTTGGAGATCCAAGTTCACTACTGTTGGCTCTTCTTCCCGTTCCATCGTTGGTACCTCTACTTCTACGAGAAAATCTTGGGCGAGCTTATTGGGGACCCAACCTTCGCCCTCCCCTTCTGGAACTGGGACGCGCCAGCTGGCATGTACATTCCTGAGATTTTCACCGACACGTCGTCATCCCTCTACGACCAGTACAGAAATGCAGCGCATCAGCCCCCGAAGCTCCTGGACTTGAATTACAGCGGGACCGACGATGACGTCGACGACCCCACACGAATCAAAGAGAACTTAACAACGATGTACCAGCAGATGGTGTCGAAGGCCACCTCTCACAGACTCTTCTACGGAGAGCCCTACAGCGCAGGGGACGACCCAAGCCCTGGCGCCGGAAACATTGAGAGCATTCCCCATAACAATATTCACTTTTGGACTGGCGACCCAACCCAGACAAACGGGGAGGACATGGGGGCCTTTTACTCTTCGGGGAGGGATCCGCTGTTTTACTCCCACCATTCCAACGTGGACCGCATGTGGTCTATATACAAAGATAAGTTGGGCGGTACGGACATAGAAAAGACCGACTGGCTGGACACGGAGTTCTTGTTCTACGACGAGAAAAAGAATCTCGTGCGCGTCAAGGTTCGGGACTCGCTCGACACGAAAAAACTGGGGTACGTGTACGACCAGAAAGTCCCGATCCCGTGGCTGAAATATAAGCCGACGGCTCGTAAGTCGACGAATAAGAGAAAAGCCTCGGTTTCATCTTCTGATCTTACTACGACGTTCCCTGCTGTACTGTCGGATACAATCAGCGTCGAGGTGACGAGGCCGTCTGCGACGAAGCGGACAGCTGCCCAGAAGAAGGCGCAGGACGAGGTGCTGGTGATTAAGGGGATTGAGTTTGCCGGGAATGAGACTGTGAAGTTCGACGTGTTTGTGAACGATGACGCGGACTCGCTGGCCGGGAAAGACAAGTCGGAGTTTGCTGGGAGTTTCGTTCACGTGCCGCATAAGCATAAGAAAAATATTAAGACGAACCTGCGGCTGAGCATTACGAGCTTGTTGGAGGAGTTGGCTGCGGAGACGGACAGCAGTTTGGTGGTGACTTTGGTGCCGAAAGTTGGGAAGGGGCCAATCACCATCGGAGGGTTTAGCATTGAGCTCATTAATACTACCTAATTTTTAATTAATGTTATTGTTGTTGTTGTTCTTCTTCTTGTTGCGTTGGCTTAATCGTGTTTTACTAGCTAAGTAATCTTGAATGTAATGTGCTCATCTACTGCTTACGTGGCAGATGATGGTTGGTGTTCCTCGTGAATAAAAGCACTACTCTGTTTCGGTGTGTTGATTTATTGAATAAAGAATTGATGGTAGAGTTCTTGAAAAATTAATGGATCAAGATTCTTTTCTATCATCTTTCCGTCATTTTCTCTTACATTCTCTGTTTTATCTTTCTCTTTTTATAAAAAATTAATGTAAGATATTAATGTGATTTAACCTTAGCTGTTTAAATAGAAGAGAAGGGAATGGAAGAAAAAAAAAAGAGGGGAGAGAATCATACTATAAAATTAATGGACTCGAATTGTGTGTAAAGTTGTTTATAAAACTAGTACACTACTTTACTATTATTGTTAGGAAAGTGTTATTGACATTCTAAAATTTTCATTCTGCACACTACAAGAAAACAGAGAATATGTGACGGAATTACTTTTGGAGCCTAAAAATTCGTCATATTTCACGGAAATAAGTGAAGAGACTTGAAAAAGCGCCACATAAAAACTTTAGCAGGACACGAAATAATTTTTAGATTCTATGCGTCACAAAACTTTTAGATTCGTTACATATAAATGATCGAAAATTTTTCCCGCCAAAACAAAATGAAATTCACTTCGTGACGACTTTTCAGAATGCGTCACAAAACCTTAAGTAATGCAATAAAAATATACGTGAGGCTAGTTCATGCCTCACCCATTGTATATAAAAAAGAAAAATGATTTAATAAAAAACAAAAAGTAAAACTTTTAGGAATTAAATGAGAACTCTTTCGTCAAAATCACTCCATTCGCATCGCTCGCCCACTCTGTTTCCATTTGATCTCCGATGGCCAACGATCTGGTGGTTGCCATCGGCGGCGACCACCACTTCCCTTTCGTCTCCTTCTCTTGCCTACACTCTCACTTTTCCTGCTCGCACTCCACTTTTTTTCGCTTGCACTCTGATTCTTCTCACTAAACCCTGGCTCACTCTCTCTCCAAACACCCACATTCTTACATCTTCGCGTGACTTGGTGGCTGCAATCGGGTAAGATCTTATTTAATTTTAATCTTGTTTTAGGGTTATGCATAAGCAGTTTAGATTGAAAGAATAATGACAATTTGAAATGTACTGATTGTACAAAGTGACGCCTTTATATTGGGAAGGAAGAATATGATGCATATATCTGTATTCCTAGGGTTTGGCTATTTTCTTGAAATTTAGTTCTGCATAAATACACAAGGTTCTGAATATCACAGGTCTGAAACAGTAATTTCAATTTTATACTTTGGGTGTGTAGATCAAATATCATATTCTAGGGTTTGGTTTAAAATGTCAATTCTTGGTAAGGGTGAGTATAATTGAAATAGAAGCTATAAACATGATTCCTGAATTGTATGGAAGTGTTCTGAAGTTGTAATTTGGATTAAAAGAGTCTTGAGTTCCTTTTTTGATCCAATATTATGTATTTTAAAACTAGGCATGTTCATGATCAAAACCCATCTGCGTTCACTTAATTTCATTGAGTTTTTATTGATCAAAACCACGTAAAAAATGAGTCACAAAGCTGCCAGACAGCAGCAAGTTCTGCATTTTGAGTTTTGAGATTCTATTTTATAGTTGGCAAAACTTACAATTTGGAGCTCTGTTTTCTACAAATCTTGTACGGTTTTAAAGTACACAAAACAAGCTTCAAAAACCATTTAAATTTGTACCATTTGGTTCAGTTTTGAACATTCAAAAGTGAGCTTAAACTTGGTTGATCAAAGCAGTTTTTCTGCAGCATTATAGAGAAGATGGGTGTTGTTTCTACATACTCAATTCTTCTGCCAATTTGTTTTAAAATTACTTTTGCTTTATATTAGTGTTCTGATTTGAAATATAAGTTGTACTAACATAATATCTATGCTACACATGTTAAGAATCTGTAATTATATCACTTCATGGCTTATTTGTATGTGTTACTTGTGTTTGTTACTATTTGTTCTTGCTTTTGTAACTTGGTTTAGGTTTGGGTGTTGTGTTCGAAACTTTGGAGGACTTGTGTCAACAAGGCTAGTCGAATACGAGAAGAAAACGATCAGGTATTTAATCCTCACTCTTGTATTTCATTTCTTCTTTCTTCTTATTGCATTACAAGTTTTTTATTTTTTATTTTTTTTATTACCTATTGGAAACAATTGAAAATACCGTAAGTGAATTCAAGGTTGATTATCTTTACTACAGTTGAGGAAGATTAGACCTATAGTTATTGGTATTGGAAAACAATATTATACCAGTTTTACTTTTGCATACATTCTTTTTAGTTTTGCAGGAGATGGAATGTAATATGGTGGTATGGGGATTGGAGGGGGTGCAGTAGGTGCTTGAACTTCACCTACCTCTTTAATTATTTTTGGCCTTCCAGGTTGCTTCTTGTACGGAGGGGGCTAATTGCAGGCAAACCATTCTTCTTCCACTGATCCATGGATGGAACTGGATGAACAATGGGGTCATATGATTTCAAGTAAGCCTTCTGCTTATAGCAATCATGGCATAGTAATACAAATTTTCATCCATGTAAAAAATGCAGCAAATAACGTGGGCGCATGGGATTCGAGGACCAACTTGATGTTTCCAATGCCTAGCTGCATTCTTCTAATGGTCATCCTTAGCATGACATACACCATTAATCCCAAATAAGCTATGCTTTAAACCGTGGAATAAATTCTGCTCCAATTTTTTGGAGGCCTTCTCTGAACCCATTCCCAAGCTTTTTTATTTTGTTATTTCATATTTTCCAAAATAAGCTCTGCTTCAAATCGTGGAATACTAGTGGATGTAGCTAAAGGCTCACAGTGTATTCTTTAATGCAAGTCCTGAGTGTGTGATGCCTTAAAGTCGTTGTATAGATGTCTCCAAACATTCTATGCTTAGTTGTTGGAAAGACACTCTGAATGGCAGGAATTCATCCTTTATGTGTGTCACTGAATGGCATGAAGGTTGATTAGTGTAGTAGCCAAAGAGAAATATGATGGATGTGTTTGTTTTCCTACTAAGAAAGTTCAATTTTATACTTCTTTGTGTTCTACAAAATGCTTATCTATGTTGTGTATGAGTTGGTGAAGAATCGAAATTTTCTACTCTAAAATTATGTACCTTAATAGTGTAGTAGCCATAGAGAAATATGATGGATGTGTTTGTTTTCCTACTAAGAAAGTTCAATTTTATTCTTCTTTGTGTTCTACAAAATGCTTATCTATGTTGTGTATGAGTTGGTGAAGAATCGAAATTTTCTACTCTAAAATTATGTACCTTAATGTTGCTTTTTGACTAGGTATTGCTATTGCATTGGTTTGCAATTCCTGAAGACTAGCTCATCTTTTCTGAAACCTGAACTTAAGTTCTCCTACCTCTGTCATTCTAGTATACATACTCTCTCCATATGGTTTATTGATTATTCATCCTCAATTGAATATGTTTTCACTATCTTTCTACCTTTGTCATTCTAGTATACATACTCTCTCCATATGGTTTATTGATCATTCATCCTCAATTGAATATGTTTTCACTATCTTTCTTCCACTTATCCATCACTTGATGCATGAGATGTTTCAAAACCAAATTGGACAGCTATTTAACTAACTTTTCTTTTGTATGTCATGTACAACTTGTGCAAGAGAAGAATGGAGAGTTGAGAGCTCAATGGGTTTGCAAAAGGAGAATGAAGATGTTATCCACAATTGAAGATTTTTTAGCTGCAAGTCAGGGGTAAACAAAATGCACAAGGTAGACTTTTTGGTTAGCACCTCAATATATCTAGAGGTGTCCAAATGTTGTTAAGTTGAGATGAGATACCATAAGGGTATTCGACTTGCTAGCGTCTGGGATGTTTATGTTATTTTTGAGACTTCACTTGGTGTATCTATTCAAGTTATAAGATTAAATTCTTGATTAATGAAAATGTGATTAACCGAAGCATTACATTACATTTATTATGAATTCTATTTCCAAATTATGAACAAGGATTATGTGGTAGTTGGTTCATCACATACTAGAAGCAAATAGGTATTGGATTTTGACATATGTGATGCACGCTACACCACGTATCAAAGGAATAAGTGATGATTTCAGCGTCACTCACATATATGATATATGATGAATTTATAGGTCATTGAATTTAGTGTTTTGTGACGCTTACTTTGTCACATATCTCCTTGAACCCGGTATTCTAATCAATTATAGGTGGCGAAGGCAGCGTCACATATACATAAAATATGTGACGAGTGTAAAATTCGTCACATATACTTTCGGTGACGCCTCATAGGTGATGCTGGTAGTGACGTTGGAAATTCGTCACATATTATTAAATGTGATGCATTTTCACTTTATGTGACGACCTTTTGACATCACATAAGCCATGTTTTCTTGTATTGGTACTCCTTACAAATGTATTTTTTTTTTTTAAATATAGAAAGTTTGAAGTGTAGAATGAGAAATTTAAAATGTCAATAACAATTCCCTATTATTATTTGTGAAAATGGAGGGCTGTCAATTGAGTCGTATTCTTGCGCAAAGAGAAAGATAATAAACATGTAAAGCCAAAAATTGTAGGGGTAAAACAATAATTAGGCTAAATATGTGGTAGCGACTAGCATAAAAAGTTTTTTGTTTTTTGTTTTGTTTGGAAGAAGGGTAAATTTTATAACAAAGAACACTAACTTACATAAAAAAGACCCACATACAAATAGATACAAGGAAAATTAATGAAAATAACTTAAGAACTTTAAGTTTTAACGATAAGGATAAAATAAAAGGTAAAGTGAATAATACCATGATTGATTTTTTAGTGTAAAAATATAGTTTTTCGTTAAAATGAACAATACCGTGAGCTTTTCGTTAAATTTCTCGTATACAAAGCAAAAATGGACCTCCCAAGCTAACCAAAAAGAGCCTAACCAAGAGCCCAAAACCAGAAACAGACCAAAAGAAAAATCGAGAAGTCTGCTACCACTGCTGCAACATTACAATTTACATGACGATCAACCGGATTCGGCTCCCCAAATAGAGACCTAAAACCCAACCATGCAGCACCGCAGAGATGAAGTGAAGGAAGACCCATCATCCAACCACGAACACCACGTCGATCTTAGCTAGAAATTGAAGGGAGTTAGCCACAATTAAAAGAAGCTCATGGAATTAACACAAGCAACACTGCCAACAAATGCAGACAGAAAGAATATTGTGGTGGTGTTGTGAACACCCGAGCTGGTGTGGACACTGGAACTCTACGCACCATCTTGATTGATCGTGATAAATTGTGTTGAAAACTGACTACAGACTGGATTGGAGGTGGTTGAGGAAGATGGGCGCCCGTGTGGTATGAAAGACAGGGAAAATTGGGAAGGAGATATGGGAAGAAAGTAGCAGAAGGAACGGAAGACGGAAACGGAGTGAAAAGGAAAGATCTGCTACCGACTCCAGCAACAGCAAGGGCTGGAGGCGTCAAAATTGGACGGAAAGGAAGCCACTGAGAAGAACTCTCAGGAAGAGAGTCTCTTAGGGAAAGAGAGAAAAATGAAGCGGAGTTATTTTCCTTTTTTTTTGGGATAAGGCATAATTAATAAGCGTTGCTATATAAGATGATAGAGAAATTTGGCAACTGAGGAGAATTGTTACAAGAATGGAGACACCTAGAACAAACGAAGAAATAAACAAGAATTGGTTGGAATTAATTTGGCTAAGATGTTATGTTACAGATGAATATACATATAAAGTATATGGAGCTGCAGGTCGATTAAGGTTTGAATTGTACATGCAGTGCACTTTTAAGAGATGGTACAGGCAGTACTAAGCTCAAAAAGCAATGGGAAAGACAAAAGAGAGACTTTCTCCAGTGTAAATCAAAAGTGTAGATATATGTTACACATTTGAATAAAAACCGTCAGATCAAGTGCTATCGAAGTCGGCTAGTAGGAAAAAAGATTCTCGCCAGATCTTTTTTTTGGGGATCCAAGAAATCCTGTGATCGTGACCGTTTATCGTATATCGTACAGTCAGTTTTCGTTAGGTACTATTTATATTTAATTTAAAATTTAAAATTTAAAATGATTTATGACTATACGATATACGATGAACGATCACGATCATGGAATTCCTGAAATTCCCAGGAAAAGAATCTGGCAAGGATCATTTTCCGGCTTGTAATAATTAGAAACGGATTTAATGATTATAATCTACATATTTTTTTAATTTTTTATTACATACAATTTTTTTTTTTTTAACAAAAATTATTATCTACATCAAGAGCAGAAGATAAAACTTAATCTCACAATAAATTAACAAAAATGTAATTCAAATCCGTTTTTAACGAAAATAAAGATGAATATTACATACGATATTATCAAATAAGATGTGACCTCATAACGAGCTAAATTTTACATTTTTTATTAATATTTTGAATGGCCACGTGGTCTTTTATCATTAGACTGGTTTACATTTTTATTATTATCTTTTTTGGTCTTTTTTTATTATTATGTTGGTCCAATTTGTTTTTGGTCCTTGACCGTGGTTTTTTATCATTAGATTGGTTTGCTCTTACATTTTTATTATTATATTTTTTGGTCTTCTTTTATTATTATGTTGGTCCAATTTGCTTTTGGTTCTTGTTTTTGTTTTTTTTTGATTTCCCTAATATTTTTTTAAAATAAGGATTTCTTTCGTACAATCCCTATAAATTAGAGAAAAACTTCAAACATAAAACACGAAAAAATATAAGTAGCTAAACATAATTTATTTGTGATATAGGTAGATTATTGATAAAAATATATATGACATAGGTATATTAAATAAGTAACAAGGCTGAATGCAACATGGTTGAAGATAATTAATTTTTATAATTTAGGATATTCCGGTGGGATGCTTTTAGTCTTGAGTTTTTTATTTTTTATTTATTGTAATATTCTTGCTAAGGATGTAAATGTTCAAGTTAGAGTTTAATAAAGTTTTAGCCTTTCACAAGAAAAAAACAAACAGATAATAGTATTGGACCTATTTTAAAAAAATGAACTATTCCTAATATTAACTCATAAAATTATATTTATATTGAATTTACCCAAAAAAATACTAACTTTTTAAGACATGTTGGGCAATATGCAAAGTTTCATACTTTAAGAACCCATTAATTGCACTCTCAAATTAAAGCATAACAAATTAATAGATAAATATTTTTTTACTCCAATTGAAAGCTAAGCATCTCCCATGGAAGTCCCTATTTAGGAATTCCCACCACCATCTTTGAGTGCTCATTTAAGTACTTAAAGGAAATCTTTGTCTTCTTAAAGGAATATTGCCTTCAATGAGAGCGTCTTATGGTAGAATCCTTAAATTTGAAGTTTTTATGATTTTATGTGATAATTTGATTATGTGCACATTTTTTGTTTATGTTAACCTTTTATAATTAATTAAAAGCATTAAAAGCTTCAATTAAATTGTGGGCCCCGTTTTCAACTCAAGGTACACGTTTTTGTTTAGGGTGATACTAGAGAAACTAAATTTGTAGACGAATGAGTAGACACATCCGTCTCCTACATATCGTTTAGGTGGCACTAGCGAAATCCAGCTAAGGCAAGGACTTCGTGTCTGGCTGCTCCACTCCGCCGCGACAAAATTTTGTAAACTAAATGACATGGAAGTTGATGATTGATTATTACTTAAGCGTTGATAAAGGTGCTCGTTTCTATTGGTGACACATCATTTAGTTTGCAAATTTTGTCTACAAATTTAGTCTCCTTAGCATTTCCTTTTGTAGGTAATGCTAGGGAGAATAAATTTGTAGACAAAATTTGTAAACCAAATGATGTGTCACCAATAGGAATGAACACGTTTATCAACGCTTAAGTAATAATCTAATCATCAACTTATATATCATTTAGTTTATAAAATTTTAGTTACAGATTTAGTGTCTTTAGCATTACCCAAAAGACAAAATATATAATATTTGGCAGCCATATTTCGTTGACTATTCATTAAATCTAGTGATTCATCCATCAAATAAGCTAAAACTTATAGCTCTATATACGGCTGTTGGTGTCTTTTCTCATTCAGTATTAAATTTACTACAAGCACGTTAGCAGATCGACGTCATGTGGAAATACGGTGACTCGATCAACCATTAGATAAAGAGGACACTTGATCTGGATGCAGCTGGAAAAACATAATTAATAAAGCCATGGCTCTTCCACATGCACCCACCACTGCGCTCAGTAATACTTCAACTTCCCTGACTTGTTTCCCTAAACCTTTGTTCCCAAACAAGTCCCAAACACATTGTTCATTAGTTGAAAAAGGTAAGCATGGATCTCCATGCAAAGCGAGAAAGAGCGATGATGAACAGGGAATTAACCAAGTCGAGGGAAAACTGAGCAGGAGAAACATGCTGATTGGTCTCGGAGCTGTAGGGCTGTATGGGGCGACTGGTGGCCTTGGGACCAACCCATTCACCACCGCTCTTCCGATTCCAGCTCCTGACCTAAAAACTTGCATGCCGACCACCGAAGATGTGATAGGGCGGCTGATGAGTAAGCTTTGTTGCAGTGATCAATTCTGCAGCACAGAAATGAAGTTGAAGCTCGGAAGTTTTGAATTTCAGTATCGTTCAATTAGTAGAAGTGTTTGTAA